TTTTTTTTTTTAAATAAAAATGTTTTAGAAAATGTATATTTACTATTTTAAAAATTATAAATGTTTTGACGAGCCTCGATAAATATTTTGGAAAATGTATATGTTAAAAAAAATAGAAAATGTGCATATATATATTTTTTGAATTTAAGATTTAGTTCTAGTAGCGTAAAAAAAAATTGACTCGCCCAGCCGCTCGTCTTGGGCGAGCTCAGGCACGAGCCGAGCTCGCCCAAAAGAAAACGAGCTCGTGCGAGTATGGGCCGAGCCGGCTCGGCTCTGCCCATTGACACCACTAGTTCAACAGGTCAGTAAACATATAGTATTTGTAAATTTGTAATTATTTTTTATTGCACTCATCATGACTCGAAATTGTCACAGTCAAAATCTATCAATATGTACGGAGGTAGACCCTTCTATGTAGGAGAGCGATCGACCTTTCTAACACATATTTAGTCATATAGGCATGGACCCACTAATTGAGTTGCATACGCTCAAAATGCATACGGTGGCCAGGATCATATTATGATGCAAAAAATGCTGCTACCCAAAAACAGGCAAGCTTGCATCTGATTTCAGCATCCATGGCAGGGGCGGAGAGAGGAGTGGGCTACACTTGTCCAAGCTTAGGTTCTGTAAAAAAAAAAAAAAAATGATTATAGTCCATTTTTTTTCAGTGTCCAACCCAGTAGCCCATTTGAAAAATTGGAAACCCAATTTGCTATTTATATAAAAACAAACCCAATTCCCAAACCCTTTACCGGTTACCAGCCCAGCCTTGTCCAAGCCCAGGTTCTGTAAAAAAAAAATTTGGTTATAGTCCATTTTTTTTTCCACTGTCCAACCCAGTAACCTATTTGAAAAATTGGAAACCCAATTTGCAATTTATATAAAATTAAACCCAATTCTCAAACCCTTTACCTATTACCCTGTGCACGGTTTCTTGATTTCTTCCAATTAGCCCATTACCGAAACCCTTTATCGTTGACGCCGTCCGCTGTCTATCAGCCAAGCCTGCTCACTGTTCAATTTATTCCGGTAAGTGAAAATCGGCCCTGCTCTCACTTGTATCATTCTTCTCTGTATCATTTAGCTGTATTTTGTTGATCAAGTATTCATGTTGCTAGTTCAATGGTGTGGTTCATTAGTACTTTATTGTTTATTAATTTAAACTCACGTTCTGTAATTTTTGTTGATATTGAGTCATTGACCATTTTCAACGCTATTAATAATTGGGGAACTACCATTAAATAATTTAAATTCATGCTCCATGATTTGAAATTTGCTCGTGTTTACAGTGTGTTGATTTTGAGGATGCTCTGTTAATCTGTTATGATTTGGAAATTTACTTGTTCAAAGGCCAATTGTGGGGGTATTGCATAATTTGCATTCCTATTCCCTTTGTTTTGGCAACCTGAACATGAGTGAAAGTTAAGAAGTTAAATTGAGTATGATATGCTTTCTGTACAAAGTTAGAAAAACAATACATGTGAAGTTCCCCACTCTAGTCATTTTTCTCGTTTCGATTGCATAAAACCGATGGAATATGTGACTTTCTTAAGACTAGGATTTTTCTACCCTTTTCTTTCTTCATTTTCCAATTCTACTTCCTGGTGTGATTCATCCAGTTATTAATGGCATTTGTGAATGAGAATTGAGATTTCTTTTGAAATATGGATAATAATCTTGAGAATTTAGTATTAATTTAGATCTAAATTCTATTATAAATGAATTTTATGCTATAAAACATCGTTGGGTACAATTGTAATAGGTAACGTTATATTACAATTTTTCTAGTTATATATAAATTTTATTCGTACATTCAATTTTAAAAATTTTTGCCTCCTGTACCCTTCATTTCTGGGTCCGCCCCTGATCCATGGGCTCTTGCCCAATTACTGCGATGGCTCAAATCCATCAAATTGCAACCCACAAAACCAATTCGATTCATCCAAGGTTCAAAAATTACTTAGAATTTTTGTTTAAATCCAAAGTTTTAATTTCAAACAAAGGAGCTACTTATCTTACATTGTATGTGATGAAAATCTTGTTTTGTGTTGTCGTGTCCAGATTTCAGATTTAACTGGCAGAATCCAAAAAGAATGGCCATCTTTGGCCTATCCAAACAGTGACAACATAAATTTCTGGTCTCATGAATAGGTCCAACACGATTGCTTTGCTACGGCCCTAAATCTCAAGGAGTAACTTAGAAAATTTATCATGTCATTCATGGCTTGATACTCACTGGAATACTTTGGCACAGGGATGCAACCAAATGGGGAGGTCTACGACTTGGGTTCCATCAACGATGCAATAAAACAAGGCACGAGGTAAACCCCATGGATAGAGTGCAATAGTGATGAATCGTGAAACAGCCAACTTTACCTAGTGTAAATATGTGTTTGACATTCAGGGTCTAACCTCGTTGAATGTCCTATGTTTCCTCATGGAAAATGTATTCCAATACCGAGTTTTCTTCTTTTTGAGTAGAAAACGTGGTGAGCAGTATTGGTCAAGACATGGAGATAGTAGCTAGCACGAAAAAGATTTTAGCGTCCTTTTCTTATTTAATGTTATTCAATACAGTGTACCAAACATACATTATCTGTAATCCATTTTTCATTATCACTTTAAAGTGATAGTATAAGTATTTTCATTTGTCGTATAAGAGAAAACTCCATTCTGTCCTTACATAAGGTTAATGGCTTGAGTCACTTAACCCTTCTCTTCCAAATCCTCGCTTCTCTTCCAGATCCTCGCTTCTACGGGCCAAGTATAGGATACGGAGTTGAAGCAAGTTATGCATTGCGAAATGGGAATATGGTGTTAAAATGTTAGCTCAATTTGAATTCTAAAGAGTTCAACTTGTTAGGTTTATATATTGTATTGGCGATTCTGTAAACAAAAGGACCAACTTGAATAGTTATAAAAGTTTAGAGACTCAACTGTAAAGTTTCATAGTTGGTGGTTAGCCTAGGGTTCGGGATTTTATGCTTGGAACTAGGTTAAAGACTCAGCGCATTTTCGCTAGCTCCTCGTCGGAAGCATGCTCGAGCGACTGAAACAGAACAGTCTTCGCTCAACTTTCGCCAGCCGTTCGCTCGAGTGACAAAGTGGTTTCGCTCAAGCGACGGTTGTATATGGAAAACCTAAGTCACGTTTATTGATGAGTTTTATACGGCCCAAGTCTCCAAAACAGGTTTAACTATAAATAGAGGTGCCGTTGACGAATTCATTGTGGTTGCTACATTGTTCTTACATTGAGAGATTCATTAACATATTTGAAAGAGATCCAAGAGACAAATCATTGAGAGATTCATCAACTTATTTCTTGAGATCCAGCAACCCGATTTTGGAAAAACATCAATTCCTTAAACCGAAACACCACCTATTTCTTATTAGTCATAAGAAGGTACTTTTTCAGTTGGATTTCAAAAGTTTCTGGAGGTTGAGAGAAGTTGGACTATAAGCGCAGGTTGAAGAACGGGGACAGGTGATTCATGGGTATCTACTTGGAAGAGACGTGTGCAGAAGAACGTGAGACTGCTGTAGCATATCTNAGCAGAACTTGGAAGCTACAGGAGATAGATCGGGAGATCTAGCAAGTTGGCTAGACAGTATCTACGGTAGCAAATCGCAAGGCTGGAATAAGCAGCAGATCTTGGAGTTGCAGGGTTTACAACAGCTAGTGGAACTAGTTTGGAATTGAACTGTAACCCATGTTGTCTATAGTGGAGGTATTTGGCTTGGTCCCGGAGCTTTTACCCAGTTGAGGTTTCTCCATCATCATATTGGTGTTGATTTACTGCTTTCATTATTTATTGCTTATTGATCATATAAACTGCAGTATTCAAAGATAGGATAATTTGAATTGTTTGACTAATCACCTAGACATAATTAAAAGTGACTTGTTGCTTTGATTAGTATTATTCCGCACGTAAGGTCGAACTTGTTATTAAAAAGTGTTTCTCAATTGGTATCAGATTTTAATTGGTAGAGAACTACGCCTATTGTATTTTTCACAGCTCAATAATATACACATAATATGTTGCATCTTTATACAGATATGTTTCAGAAATCTCATTGAGGTTCATCCTTATACACAATATATGTAGAATTATATAGTTTCCATTAACATTATAGTACTAATAATAAGTTATAACCTTATATGACAGAATACATATGGCTAAAAACACCTGTTAATGATGTTTCTGTGAACTAAAATTCCCATTGATTTCATCCACTGCCTTGCAGTTCAAGTCTATCGGTTTTGGACCTGAATCAAAATCATTCATGAATTTTCTGTTCAAATCCAGGCCCTCGAGTAATTTCAATTTTCTCACCTTTTCGTTATTGCCTTCAACTTCAAGTTTTCTGCTCCTTTTTGGTGTTCCATTACCTCGAGGCTCGCTTAAGTCCATAAATGGTCGAGTTTCTTCTTTTCTCCCCGAACTTTCAGATGACGTTAAAGAACTTTCAACTGAATATCCATTGTGTCCCAAAAGTTTGTTCTTAGCATCTTTTAAGATTGAGCCTTCACTCTCTGACAAAACAGACAACGAAGAACTAAGACACAAATTGGTGTCTACCATTGATACTAATTGAGAAAGTTCTGCCCTTGCACTTTCCATTTCGATAGAGCAAGAACTATATCCTGCAAGAGTCTCTTGTGCTTTTTTCAATACTGACTGCAAATATTTTCCTTGAGTTTCAATTCTTAGCTGCAAATGCCTTTGCACCTGAAAGAAAAAAAAAGTAAAATAAATTTTTTAATAATCATATGCTGTGTTTATACCCAATCAACAATATGTTAAACGTGTAGATTTCTACGTTGTACCTCGATTTGTTCATGGAGATTCCTTTGCACCTCCATTTGCATTTGTAAAGCCTGAGTTATCTGCAAACTTCTGAAAAAGCATAACTCTAAATCAACTAAAAAAAATCTTGTTTTGCATTTAAATTTATTAAATAATCTAAAAATTCTCACTCATTAATCTTATCTTGCACTCCATCATAAATCTTGTTAGGGAAGTGACTCCTCTGATTATCATCTCTGTAGTCTGCATTAGGAAATATGGACATTAGTGCTAGTAGGGTATATGGTCAGTTAATAATAGTGGACAGTAATGAAATTTTTAGCTTCGTTTTGTTCTTTAATCCTATACTATACAAGTTTTAATGCTTGCATGATGATATCATATTCAATACAATGCTGCTTACCTTCTTGTTGATTTTTGTTGTAGGTTTGTGATTGTTGACTTTTTCCCAGTCTATATTTCTGTAGAAAAGTAAATTAATCAATTCAAAAACACTTATAAGTAAAATCAACAAGAAAAATAATAAAAATTATTGCCTGTAAATGACTCTTGAGATGGTACAAAGTGAGTCCAGGAATGCTCATCATCCTCTTCAAGGATTTTGGTGTAGCCTCTGCATTATAAAGAAAGAATCAGTAAAATAGCTATAAAATGAAAAAAATTTCGTCGTTCCCAATAGCAATACGAGAAATCTGCACTCAACTATCTGCTCCTCCAATCTGCTCGACTGCATCAACGAATCGTTGGTGCAGTTCTTGAGTCCATTTCAGTCGAGGCTTCGCATCACTTGATAAAACTAAGTTCATTTCTTTATTTTGAACATTCTGAAAAGCCATCTCTGTTTATATGAGAAGAAATTACTTTTAGCTTGAAACATAGGAAAGGTTCTTTGATCCTTACAACTCTGTCTCAATATGTGGCAGCCTATGATTCTCTTTATAATTGAGAGTTGTTAGCCTGTCATATGTTTTCACTCCAATCTGGAAACATGGGTGGGGGTGGTGTAGGGTAGGGTGGGTGGGGTGGGGTGGGGCGAATATATGCTATGAGCTGTGTCCATTCCTTTCTCCCACTTCCCATTTTACATCACCTTTCTTTATTTCTATTTCAAAGTTTTTTTCTTTCTTCTTTGACTTGATAGGGTGGAGAGAATCTCCATTGCAGCAAAAACAGAGAAAATTAACACACTTCCATTTGAGTCTCAAAATGAGATAAAAGAGGAAAAAAGTGTATGGTTTGTTTATATCATGCTGTTTTATATATATACATGCACATATATATGAATATATAGATTCCCATATGAGTTAGACAGTCCCCACCATGATGAATAATGGATCAGCTTTTGAAAAACACTTGAGAAATTTTGATGGAAAAGATGATGGTGATAATGCTTTAATGGATGTTTCTTTTCAACAAAGGGATAATCAGATGAATATTTCCTTCTCAGCTTTTTTTTTATTTTTCATTTTTTTTTTTTTTTTGGGGAATTGGCTTATTCTTTTTGTTTTCTTGTAGGGATACAGGAATCAAAGAATCTAACATTAGATTAGGTATCTAGAGGTACTTTATAGAAATTGAAGTGTAGACAAAATAAGCAATCAATTAATACTAATGTTTGTGTTAACTGTTAAATATTATTTTCCCCAATGTTCATCTTGAAAGCAACAGATAGTAAACTACAACGGCAAACTAAGCTTTTTTCCATTTAAATTGGGGTTGGTTACGTGAATTCATTTCCACCGCTATGATCGGATGTACAAGAAAATCTAAAGTAGATCCTAGAAACAAAGATAAAATTAAAATAAAAGTAAGTGTCTGCTATATGCATAAACTCAGAAATTAGTCCTTGCTAACCAAAAATAGATAAAATTCATATGTAAAAATACTTACTTTTGCATAATCAAACTGCTATTTAAAAAGAGCCAAATTTTCTCTTCAAGTTCAAGAAAAGTATCTACTCACAATTTATACAACAGGTTGATCAAATGAGATTAAAGTCAATGGCCAAGTTTTTTCCTTGGAGTAAAATTATCACTTTAGTTATTCCTTTTTCACTGTCTGTTTATATTTGGTTACAAAATAATGAAGTTTAATTGGAATTCATTATGACATAGAATCTCTTTTTCTCTTGAAAGTAATCCACAAACAGAAGCAAGTGACAAAAAGGTTTAATGTAAGTTAATATAAGTTGATTATAAGTTTATAGTAAAGATAAGAAACGAGAAAGGGAAAACAAAAGGCGAGTCCCAATGGCAAAGAACAAATCAAAGTCATTTAATCAGATTAATCTTCGCCATTCCTCGGATTTTGATCAAAGAGTTTAATCTCTGGAATCAAATCCAGTGATAGATCTACAAAGCATTGCCATCTCAGTGCCATACATTCACTTGGTCTACTACATGGATGATAATATTTAAGGATCAAAAAGAGAAGAACATTAGATACAGAGCAAAAAAGACAGCTAACTTGGGATAACCTCTATCTTTAAGTAATTGTTTTTAAGCAACTCGATTAAAAGTTTAAGCAGTTAGAAAGTGGACACATTTAACCACGTCATCTAAAACTTCTTGTATCGGAGCGAGTGTGTACTTGGGGTGGATCAAGTTTGTTTCTTCAGCCCTATGTGAAGGGAGTGTTAGTATGTCCCATATTGTCATGGTACAGATGAGGTATAATATATAAATTGACGGCAAGCATGCACAATGTAAGTTAGTTTTACAGTGATGAGATAGGCCAATGGAATTCATTAAGCCCCTGTTTGATGATGGCCATTATTTGGTCAAAACAATGTTTTGAATAGTGATCTTTAGGAGAATGTAGGATTAAAAAGTAGGAAAATATTTTGGATTTACGTACAGAATATTTTATTATGTGGACGTGTGATTAAAAATTAGTATGTAGAAAAAGAATTTTCAAATAATAGTTATCAAACATGGACAAAATATACCTTATCAAGAACTACTTCTAGCGTGACAAATCAAGGTTCTCTCCTCGCCCCACACGATGGGTTTGGACACATAGGGTGTACTGCAAGCACAAATGTCTTATCACTCATAACTGACGGTAATCTTCAAGACGTTATACGTGTATCTCTTTCGTAGTCCAAGGATAAAAAGCAAAAAGGCCTTCGCAGTTACGAAAATTATGCCTATTTCGAATTTGGGGAATGAATCCCATGTCAAAACACTAATTTCCAACAGATGCGTGTGTTGCAAACATGTGAAGCTCTCGGGGGTCGACGGACTTGTGCTTTGTCACAAATGTTTAAAAAGGAAAGAAAAGAAGATTAAATGAAGTACCTTTTTCTTTAATCAGCTGTTGTACTTGGAGCTTCTTTTCTTACTTTAATATATTCCAAAACAAGTAAAGCAGATTCTAGGATGATGCAAAACAACAGCTTGGAAATTTAGCGTCTGCAGAAGAAGGTCCAGTGAATCAAAAGTAACCTAAACAAAGTTGCTTCTCATCAATTATTATTCTGTTAGGGGGCCCCATAAGACGCTTTGAGTAAGATCTTACTAATCCAAAAGTATGAAAAGAGGATGAGAAGAATTTGGCCTCAGGAATCAGCAATAGTGAAACAAAAGGAACCTGTCACAATCTCACCAAAGAATAATTGATATTTATCTTGGAAAATCCATGGATGGAACATAACTTCCTTAAGAAAGTAACACGAGCAATACGATCGCTTATCATCTTCTACCTCCCCACTGTTGGAGATGTAATTTATAAAGTAGTTTTTTTTTGGTCTATAACAACTTAAGCGTTTTAATGAGATGGTTCTGCACGGCATACATACGTCCTAGATTCAAGTCTCCTCACCATCCATTAATAATTAATGTGTGTGCTAGGCATTTGATGAAAAAAGAAAAGAAAAGAGAAGGAAAAAAAAAAAAAGAATCTTTCCTACATGTGAGAAGGCACGTCGAAGATGTTATTTAAATAAATATGTTTGTCCTCACTGAATGAGCTTAAGATTTTACACGAGGCGGTTCAACATATGCTTCATTAGTGAGTATTTGTAGGCTTTTTGGCTGAGAGGAATGTGCATAATATACAGGGGCGGAGGGGGGGGGTCCTAGGGGGGGACCGGACCGCCCCAATTTTTTGAAAAAAATTATTTTTTATTTTATTTTTTGGCCTCAAAATTTTTTTTTTTTAATCTCCTAATCCAGCTCATTCAGTAGTTTGTGAAGTTGTATTATTTATCAATTATGAGTGAAAGAGTTTCCTCAATCCTCAGGCTCAGTGATAGAGAAATATTTCAAAAGATTAGTAGTTTCTTTTATATGTTTCTTGATTTCTCTGTGAAGTCTTCGTACATTAATTTATGTTCATTTGTTTCATTTCTCCATCACAAAGTACCAACTTTTCTCATTTTAACAGATAATGTTTCAAAAAAAATTTTCGGGGGCAGCACCCCTATAAGCCCCCGCCCCTTCAACTCCGGGACCCCTTAGTTTGAAGAGCTGGCTCTGCCCCTGATAATATATATGACATAATTATGTGAATTCGTTGGAAAAATGTCAAAAATAACTTTCACTATTACTGCTGGGAAGCATCCAAAAACATTTATATTAGCCTATGTTTGGGAAGCGTTTATAAACACTACTATTTATAAACATTCTTAGTGGAACTACTTTTTAACTATACGTTTCATATGATCCACAAGTATAACCCATTTTTCTACCATTCATTTTTATAAGAACTTCCCAAACATACCCCTTAGTTAATAAGTGAATCTGGTTTACTTACATACCCTCTTCGTTCAACAAAACCTCATAAAATTCTGTGAGAAATACACTTACTGATAGTGAAGATTCATATTATGTGATAAAAGCATACTTCAATTTCTATTAGTATGATCGAAGTGGCTTCGTTGATATTTTCCCCTCTTAAGAAATAGACAGATTAACTTTTTTCTAGGAACTAATATACCTTGCACCTTATCGCCTTCACAACCGATTGACTTGTCTTCCTACAATGAAGAATTTGAGAAGGCTAGTTTTTGTGTGTGTGTGTGTGTGTGTCTTACTAGCATGAGAAAAACCTTGTAATAGATCTTTCTCCATAACTATGAAAACTTGATCGACAAGTGAACATAGCTCTCACATTGAGCGTGAAGTATACTATAAATGTGTGTTTGTTTCACTTGTTTTTCGATTTTCACTCTATTTATTATGGATTCAGCTAGTGGTACATCTTTTGTACCTAAAGGATTACACTCCCCTCACATGAGGTGGGACCAACTTGTATAAAATATTTTTTTAATTTAAGTGGGTCCCACCCCTATTTGAGAGAGGTATAACCCCTTACGTACACCCCTAGGTGCCACTAGCAAAACCCATTTATTATTGCTCTCGTAAGAAGGGATTATGGTTTTATTCCTAACATTTCTTTGAAAGCATGCCTGGTTGTCCCTGCATCTAGAGTAGCCCTATCTAGGAGAAAAATGCATTATTACTTGAATAAGTTACATGTTATAATACAGAAATTAGTTTTATCATCATAGTATAAATATGTAGATAACAGTTCAAGGTTTGTTAATATAAGGTTCTTACTTTGAGGCAAGAGTAATAATTTCTTTACCAGGCTAATTAGGTGCCCCACTCATTCATGTTCTGATGTTGAGTTACTTGTTGTATATCTTTGTCTTATACTCTTAGACCCCACATCATTAAATAGGGGAGACATAATGAGATCATAAAAATATTCCTCAAGTAATTATTGCTAGAATTTGTTGATTTCTGAGGGGCTTAGCATAACCCATTGATTCTTTAAATCATTGAGTGACATGCTTTGGAATTATGTATTTCATTCAGAAGTGTAAAACACC